GGGGTAGGGGGGGGGGACTCCCGGCAGAAATGGATGATATCGTTCCAGCAGCAGCGGCGCGCTGTTTAGCCCAGCGGCGGCGGGAAGAGGCAGCTGGGGAATAATTTTCCAGGCGGCTAGCAGAATGACAAGCGGGGTGTGTTTGTGTGTTGCAGGCCTGGACCCGGACGCGAGGAAGGGCATCATGAGCATCACGAGGCAGGGCCGACCCGGGCCGTCCGTGGAGCCGCTGAGCAGCGCGCTGGCCGAGCACCTGCCGCCCGAGAACAGGGGCTCCGTCAAGTGAGTTGCATGGCATATTCCGTGCGACATTCCCAGTACTCGAGGAGTGTTCATGGAAATGTCCTCGCAAAAATTTGAGTGTATAATGTGATGTTCCAGTACTCGGAGGGGTTCTTGGAAATATATCCCCGCAAAAATTGAGTGTGTCGTGTGTCAACCATGTCACAGTGAAACACCAGGTGGCTGTCTCACGCCGCGCACTTTCGTAGTCATACTGTACCGCAAGCACGGGTGCGGGCGGGCTTGCCTATCGTCGCTGTCCACGGCTCTGTATGGCCCCGTGCGAGTAGGCAAGCGAACGCACGCATGCATGCGGTAAAGCAGCCACCTGGTATGGTGCGTTCCCGAGGGGTACACCACTCTTAAAAGTAGGTGTACGCGCTTTGAAAAGTCAAGAAAAAAGTCAAGATAAAGTCAAAAAGTCATTTGAATAGTCAAAAAAAGTCAAAAAGTCAAATAAAAAGTCAAAAAGTCAAATAAAAAGTCAAAAAAGTCAAATAAAGTCAAAAAAAAGGCAATGAAAGTCGACGAGAAGTCGACGAGAAGTCAGAGAAAAGGCACTGAAAAAGTCAACAGAAAGTCAACATGCGAGTGCAATATCTGCCTGTAAGGGGCCAAAAAGCTACGGAACTGTGATTGTATCGGAAAGTCCTAGATCACTGTCTTTTAAAGAGGGAGGGGGGTGGGTGGTGGGTGAAGTGAGAAAAATAAAATTATCGGATTTCATGGGATTTCTTCATCAAAAAACGTAAATACTGAAAATACCTTGTTTTTCTTACTTAGGGGGTGTACACTCTGATGACGAATTTTCTTCTTATTCGATTCATGCTATAAATAGTGCTAAAAAGTCTTGGAAAAACCTTATTACTAGCCCAAAAATTACAACTCTCCCTTATTTATAAAATATAGCAGGGAAAAAATCATAAAAGTCAAATAAATTTGATCAAAAAGTCAAAAAAAAGTCAAATAAAAGTACAAAAAAAGTCAAAAAAAGTCAAAAAGTCACGGCCCAAAAAAATCGACTAAAAGTAGGTGTACGCCCAGAATCGGAGTGATGTACCCCTCGTGCGTTCCACTAGTTCCATTGAGAACACCCAACTTGTCCTCGTTGGTGGCTGAACGACCCGCTCCCTTTCCGTAGTTATACTGTGCGTCGTGCGCAGGCGTGCGGATTGTTTGCCTAACTGCTCCGTCTCATAAGTACTGCGAATTAAGCGTGTGGAACAGTAAACCTACAGACAGACGTGTTTTTTGCTGTTGTTTTTTTTTTTTTTTTTTTTTTTGTCAGCAATAACCTAGTTAGTTATTGTTTAGCACAACACTAACGTATGCGACATGGTTTACGTGGATTGGTTGTCAATAAGTTTGCCGTCTGCTTTTGTCCCTTTCCCAGGCCGCCGGCGTCTGGCAACTACGAGGACGAGGCGTACTCGGACAGCTTCCAGCTGCAGGCGCGGCTGGTCGTGGGCGGGGGCATGCGACGGGCCATCAGCGCGCGCGTCGAGCCCAGCGTCAAGAACAAGTCCGTCATGGTGAGTGGCACCGGAGCCGCTCTCGCTGAGCGCGTGGCTGAGCGGCGGACAAATAAAAGGGCCTGCCTCCCCTTCCCTCCCCTGCCCCGCACACCGGATGGGCCCCTCAATATATTCGTCTTATGTGCTCCACCGCGGGAGGCGGCGGGGCGGGGGAGTAGGGGCAAGTCCAGGGAAAAGATATGAGTTGCTGGGGGTTATAAAGGTGGGCGGGCTGGGCGGTGGGGTGGGGTGGTGGCCCCGGGTGGGCCTCAGGCCAGCTACGGCAGATGCCAGCCAGCGCAGCTCGCCGTGTGGTGCGGTGCGGGCTGCCCCCCTTGCTGCCCCTCTCCCCCAACCCCTCCCTCAACCAGCCAGCAAGATGGAATGCGCGTTTGATATGTTGTGCGTGCGTGTGCGTGTATGCGTGCAGCAGGCCAGGGCAGGTCGCCCCTCCCCCCCCCTACCCCGGGCCCTCTCCTGTCGAGTTGACGGAGGATGAGCCCCTTCTCTCACAAGTGGTGTCACCCGGGCGCACACTGCTCTCGGGTGGGAGAGATGAAAAAGACCTGCACAGCAGTGGCCACATTATTCACATTCCTCACTGTCATTTTGTGTTTCGCTCTCGCTAACGTTCCCGCCCTCTGCAGGACATCTACCAGGAGGCGCTGTGCCACCTCGCCCTCTGCCAACGGCTGGGGTCGGGCCAGGGCCCCGGCGACCAGCAGCGGCCCGCGCTCGACGGCGTCCTGGCCGAGGTGCGGACCCGCCTCCAGGCCCAGCACGCGTCCGCCGAGCGGCACCCGCCCCTGCTGCTCGTCGGCCAGCCCGGCACGGGCAAGTCCACGCTCCTCGCCACCATCTACCGGGAGGCGGAGGCCTGGCTCGGTTGCCCCGTCAACAGGATCGTGCGCATTTGTGGTCAGTCCCTACTTCATGTGTGTGAGCGTATATATGTGCATGGTGTGTTGTGTAACCGCGTGCCATGCCGTGCACTCCAGAGCCGGCAGTGTAATTATTCCCTGTGATGAATAAAAGAGGGTTGCGGGGGCGGAGGTCGTATCCTGCGAACGGGAAAAGGAGAACGGGAGAGAGAGCAGAGAAAGGTACTGAGGGAGCCAGAGCGAAATTGGGGGTGGAAGGTCGGGTCGGTGGGCGGCGAGAGGGAGGTCGGGATTCCGGTCAGGTTACAGGGGCTGCTCTGCCGGGGCCGCAAAAGTTAACGAGAAACAATTTGCGGCTTTCAGTGTGCCTGATCCAAAACAACGCGTAATTATCGCTTCGCGAAATAACAGCAAACGTCAGGCGGAAAGGGAGGAAGGAGGGGGAGGGGGTGATGGTATCTGATCCGTTACTTTTTAATTGCGGCAACATTTTCTGTCCGTTGTTGGACTGAAGTGGTGATTGCTTTCGGCTCGTCGATGCTCTGGCACGCCGCTCTCCCCCAGTGATCCGCGCTGTCATATCCCTCCTCTGCTTAATCAAAGGCTCTGCGTGTCAAAGAATTCCCCTCGTTTTCCCTCCGCCTCTCGCGATCCTTTCATCTGATCTGGAGAGGATTGCCCCTCCCCGCTCTCCGCGCGCTACTTCGGGCGAATCCCTTGAGCAGCGGCCGGCCCGGCGCGGCGCGACCCCGGCCCGGGCCGGCCGGCGAGCACGAGGCAGCAGCACTGCGGACGTGGAATGTTTCATTCCCGGGACAGGCAGAAGCAGCAGCAGCAGCAACAGCAGCATCATTATTTCGTTTCCGTTTCTATGGGCCGTGGGGGAGAGAAGGGTGCGCAAGAGCAGGGCAAACTGGATGGCCGGCAGAGGATTCCTGTCCGGAATGTAATGTATACAATCCGCTTCACTGCGGCGGCGCGTCTCGTCAGAGACACAGAGTGATGGCTGGACGGCCAGCCGGACACTTATTACACGCCGGTTTCGCGCTGCTCCCCCCC